CCCTCGTACTACTGAGTTGCTTTATTCTCGCTCATGTTTGTGGTTTGTGTGTGTTCATTTTTTTTCGATTGCTCCAAAAACACAAAACGTTATTACGTATCATCAGCATTGTGCAAGGTGCCTCTTTCTGTCCGACAGACTTTCAACCAACGGAGCACGCGAGTCTTCTGGTTGTCTCTTTAGTAATCGGGTCTTTGTGTAGGCTGATTTTAAAAAATTCGCTAGCACTTAAACATTACCTATTTTTGCTTCATCAATAAAATTTCTATTAATTCAACTAATATCACACCAACTGACAGAAATATTCACCCAACTGACATCATACCAACTGGAAAACAATCGCATCCAATCCAACTGATCGGTCTCAAAAATTTTAAGCATTCTTTCTTTGTACATTTTCTGTTGCTGTTGGTCATCCTGATTAAGGGTAATGGAAAAAAATGTAAATTGACAGGACTTTAGGGGACTGAACTTAACCAATGTTAAGCGGTTGATAGGATTCTTGTAGTTCGACAACTAACAAATAAAAAATTTAGTGTTAAAATCCAACTATATATCGAAAGCCACAAACAACCTAACCCGAGATCAGCAGGTCCAGCAGTGTACATCAGACTTTTCAAGTCCGTTCTTATTTACTCCTTCCTCCGACATGGCAGATACCACATATTCTAGTCAAATTCCCTAGAGTTTGCTGATTATAGAAGTGCTAAGGATTAAAAAATAGACAATTGGATTTGTTGTGGTTAAAACTGACCTCGATGCTAGTTAGTTTTTTAAAAAGAAGACAAAACTCAACGCAAAAGAAATCGCAAAATATTATTTACTACAAATAAAAATTTCCTCAAAATTTCTTTTGTCCTCTTTTTTGCAGACTACGCACGCGGCTTTTGCAATCTGTACTGCAAGGAAGATTCTTTGTTTTTAAAAAGGTGTCTGCCATTGGTTTCTCCGTAAAAATGATTAGAGTCTTGAAAAACTTGCTCAATAAATTTTCCGTGCTGAGACCGGTGGTGCTTTGAACCTCAAAAGCTAGCGCTTGAAAAAGATATACTTCATCTACCAAATATTTATACTTGTCCAATTTTGCGTTCTGGCTTCAAACTGACCTCGCACTAATCCTACAGGGGACTAGGAAGTCTTCACCACAAGAGCTGCTCGCCTAGAGCTCATTGAATGAGCGTCAAATTGTCCGGTCTTTTTTAATCGGCCATGTAGAATTTTTGTGTCTTTTATACAGAGGGAAACTGAGTAGAAATTAGACTGTGCTTTATCAGCGCAATCAGTCTAGAATGCGTAGATCATCTCCCTGCAGTTATGAGGCAAGAAGGGCTATGACAACTGTCTTGGTCTGTTCGCAATTTTAAGAGTCAAACTGAAGTCCTTTTGCAACTCCGAAATAATGGTTCCATCATTTTGACCGTACAATTTCTACAGGATGATGTTCAACCATGGGGAACCAAAAAACGTTTGCATAATGTTCAATCTTTTCACGTTCGTTGGTATGAGTTTTGGAATCAAGTCTGCAGTTTAGCTGTGAAAAGCCGGCTCTGTTCAAATTGTTTTTGATTTCCTTATCTGGAGCCAATTCAAGTTTTCCAACTCAAAACCACCGTTTAGGCCCATCGTTATAAGTTCCAACCGTACGCTTCAAAGCAAAAATTTTGTCAAAGGCAAATTTCGCTCTTACTCTAAAGTAAAAAAGCTAGCAGACGAGCGGATGAAACACTTATGCCGCATTTGTCTGACCAAAAAATTTATGATTCATTTTTTGATAAATGATTTGCAAAGTAAATTTGTAAGTATTCTGTTGTAACAACCCAAAAGAAGGAATTTTCAAAAAACAAAAGGGCTCATTAGCAAAAACTTTAGAGCTTTTGGGATGCAAAAGCAATTTTTAAGAAAAAAACGCACTAGGCATCTAGTTTACCAATGACATCAGAGATTTTTCGAGCACCTTTTTTGCATCGTCGAGCATTTTTTTTGGCAAAACTTGCTGATTGCAGATCCTAGTAAATTAACTTCTTCTTTGCTTTTTTTAATTTTGGGGCAAACAAACTTCATTGATGCTTTGTACTCAAGTTCGCTACTAAAACACAAATTTTGCTCTTTTCAGAGTTCAGACTCAGCCCGTAATATTGTTTCGGTTCCCTTAAGGTCTCCTTTGTTTCGGTTTCCTTTGTTTCGGTTAGAGTTCTCTTAAGGTCCCGGAGTACTTCATTTTAGTCGGCGGCTAAATTTCCATCATCTAAATACAATGGGTTAATTTTCGACTCAGGTCTGATTTTTTTCCGCAAATTGACGGGACTTCGCACTCGCTTTAATAAATTCCCTCTTCTTTTATTATTATAGAAATTCTGTAAAGAATATAAGTTTGCTTATTGTACGTTGAATAGTTGTGTTTGAACAATTCCAGTTAGCTCAATAAAACCTGATTAACTATTGTTTTTCAATGAGAGAGTTAAAGGAATACATGACGCGTAGTTTCGAATAATTATTGGTGTTGTCGTCGCGCTCAATTTGGCTTCGAAACGAGTGAGCAGCTGCTTCTTCACCTCGTTTTGTGCCACATCCAGTTAGTAGATTTCTGAAAAATAAATTTCGCTGGACTTGCTTGCAGCATAATTAAACAAGCTGCGTTTGAGCGTGCTGCCTAATTTAATTGATCTCACACCTCCGTCTATCTTTGTGATAGCGATAAGCTTTGAGACAAAAAAATTGTCTTGATGTTTCAGTCTTTTTGCCAATCCAATGAGGTTTCTCAACTCAGTAAAAGACTTCAGAACATGGAGTCCTACACTGCCATTCAATTACTAACAAAATCTTTAGGAATTTGAGGAAGTATTTTATCTGGAAACGCTCCTGATTCGTTCGGAAAAAAATTATCGCTCCGTAAACCAGGAAACCCATTTCATGAAAAAATGGTTATCGTACAATTTTCATATATGGAAATTGTATGAAAACCATTTTTTTTTTCAAAAAAAAAACGTAGTTATTTTTCATCACCAGACTGTTGTATTTGGTTCAAAGAGCCGGAGAAACTAGATTGAATCTTTTTTTATAATGGTTTTTTGAAATTTTATGAAAATTGTATGATTAGCATTTTTCCATACATTTGATGCAGGCAATTGCAGGCTTATAAAATTCAATTTAAGCTTTTTTCGGTGTGGGGAAATTTAAAATAAGCGTTTTCGGTTTATGGATGTCAACCCGGGGTCACATTACCTTTCCAGGCCTTTTTGTTGGTTTTAATCGGGTTTCTTTATAAGACCGCTCAAAAACCACTAAAAAAAACCGCTCAAATTTTGCTTGAAAAACCGTTCAAAAACCACCGCAAGAAATGAGCGGTTTTTGAGCGGTTTTTTAGGCAAGATTTGAGCGGTTGAGCGGTTTTTCCAAAAAAACGCCCAAACCGTCCAAACTGCTCAAACCGCTCAAATCTTGCTGAAAAACCGCTCAAACCGCCCAATTATTGGGCGGTTTTTGAGCGGGATCTCGACCCGGGTACAGGAAAAAGTCTGAGTAGAAGGTAATTTTAGCTTTACAAGAGCACTTTATAATGCCTAGAGCATCTCTCTGCACTGAAAAGGCAAGAAAGCCATGACAACCATCTCGGGGTCAGTTCGCAAATTTTACAGCCTAATTGAAGTCCCAACCGAAGCAGCAAGCCTTATCCTTCCCTTCTACTTCCCCTCGTACTACTGAGTTGCTTTATTCTCGCTCATGTTTGTGGTTTGTGTGTGTTAATTTTTTTTCGATTGCTCCAAAAACACAGAAAGACGTTAAAAACGTTGTTACGTATCATCAGCATTGTGCAAGGTGCCTCTTTCTGTCCGACAGACTTTCAACCAACGGAGCACGCGAGTCTTTTGGTTGTCTCTTGAGTAATCGGATCTTTGTGAGGGCTGTTTTTAAACAATTGGCTAGCACTTGAACATTACCTATTGTTGCTTCATCAAAATAATTTCTATTAATACAACTGATATCACACCAACTGACAGAAATATTTTTCCAACTGACATCACACAAGCTGGAAAACAATCGCATCCAATCCAACTGATCAGTCTTAAAAATTTTAAGCACTTTTTCCTTGTACTTTTTCTGTTGTTTTTGGCCATCCTGACGAAGAGTAATGGTAAAAAAATGGAACTTGACAGGACTTTAGGGGACTAAACTTAACCAATGTTAAGCGGTTAATAGGATTTTTGTAGTTCGACAATTAACAAATAAAAAAATTAAATTTTAAAATCCAACTATACATCGAAAGCCACGAACAACCTCACACGAGATCACCAGGTCCAGCGGTGTACCATTAGACTTTTCAAGTCAGTTCTTATTTCCTCCTTCCTCCCACTTGGCAGACCAGTCTCTAAAATTTCATAAAAGGCGGTTATTAAACAGGCACTGTCATCAATCATTACACTTCTGTAATATGAGTATAAGTTTATCACAACAATTAGGATAGCGAAATACCCTAGTCAAGAACGTCAGAATTTATTATGATAAACAAAGTTATTTTGAGTTCATCACAACAATTAGGATGAAGAACTTACCTGAGCAAGAACGTCAGAAATTATTACGATAACTGAAGTAACCTTACCAGTCCTTCATAATTTCAAAAAGGACCTAGGAATTTGTTGAATTTAGGAAGCGTAAAGGAAAGTGGAAAAAAACGCAACATTAATTTTTTTCTCTCAAAATCAAATTTAAAGACAATTTTGGACATTTTCAAATTAGACTGAGAGTGATCTAAGCTTTTTCGCTTTGTCTCACTTTTTTAATTCCAAGCAATCACCAATTTAATCCGGATCTGCCATTTTTCGCCAGTTGTAAAAATTTACTGTTCTGGTGTGAAACTAGTTTCCACATGAGCGAAACGCTGACTTTAAGGATCAGTGCACAAACTCAGACATGGACTAGTTTCAAAATCTTCAAATTTAGTTCCAGTAGCTTTATTTTGGAATCTTTCAAGCCATGCTTATTGGTTTTTTGGGAGGCTTGGGCTTATTAAATCAAAAACTCAAACCAACGAAATCAACGGTTTATATATGTCCTTATAAACCTGGTACTCGACGTTTCTACAAATGCATCTGAATGTCTTGTTTAATTTCAATAATTTGAATCGACTTGAAAAAAACCTTGATAAATTTCTCAAGACAAGCCTTCCGAGGTCTTTAAATCACATTCGAAATGCTTAAGGTTTCTACTCTTTGCTTATGATCGCAATTATTTCCTTTTTTTTCATTGTCCGACGTTAATCGATTTTTTTCCTTTTATCGATTTAATTTTTCTTGATCACATCTGGCTTCAATTTTACCGCACTTTTCCGTAGTTGATGGATTTTTTGTTGTGTCGAAATTTTGGCTGCATACATGTTCTTCTGAAAACAATATGGGCTGCAGAAACTTAACACCTCAGGCAAATCATTCATACGGAGGATGAAAAAATAGAGATCCCTAACCAGAGATCCGTGAGAAACTCCACTAGCACCATCCAAGTTTTTGGAGAAGTTGATATCTGATCTCAAGTTTTGCTTTCTGTTTGTGAGAAACTGTTATTTATTTCTAAAAACATCCACCAACTCCAATTTCAAAAATTTCATAAGGAAATTGTGATGAAAAATTTTATCAAATATCTTCTATTGAATTTCATATTGAAACTCCAAAATTTATTTTTGAGTTCCTATCAATTGCCTCAAATATGATTTCAAAATAAGTTTGGACTGAATGGTTTTTGACAAATCCGTGTTGACTTTCCTTAACTCAAAATTTAACTCAAAAAACTTAACAGTGACAGCGGTGGCTAATTTTCATCATTTCTATTGTCACTTAGAAAAATGATACATCTATTTTTCATAGATCTCGAACTTTTCTCACGCTACTGATTTTTTTGACAATACACTGTAGAAAAAAAAAGATGACAATTGGATTGTCTTTTGAAGCATGTTTGGCGGGGGAACGTCCAGATCCCGCAATTTTGTCGTGCCCAGGTTAGGTATGATATCATTTAAGTACAACTCGTAAGCACTGAAGCTTATCAAGGTAGTTTTTTCAACATTGGTCTCGTTGAAAATAAACTTCGTTTGAATTCTCTAAGATTTCTCATAGTACTTGTTTAATGTTTCTCCTCTTGCTTGTGAATCTTTTCCCCCCTTGCTTCCAATTTTTTTTGCACTTCTACCTCTTTAATGGTTTTTCATTTTTTTTATTTTTGCCGATTGAATTTTGTCGATCACAATTTTTTTTATTGTTTCCAATTTCACTGCATTTGTCCGTCGTTACTGGATTTTTTCTCTTGTTGAAGTTTTTACTGCATCTCTGTCGTTCTGGTAAAAATTATCAGTGTTTTCTATTGCTAGAAGTTTCAAGTCGTTAGCGGACATTAATGGGTCGCAAAAATTCAACACATCAGACGAATAAAATTTGAGGAGGTTGCTTAAAAACAGAGAACCAAGCAGAGATCCGTGAGAAACTCCACTAGCAAAAACTAAATTTTTGGAATAGTTATTTTCTGCTCCTACTCTTTGCTTTCTGTTTGTGAGAAATTAATTGTTAAATACTTTTAAAAAATATCCACTAACTCCGATTTCACTGAGACTAACTCCAATTTCACTTACCTTACTGAGACAGTCGTGAGGAGGAATTTTATCAATTACCTTCGAAAAGTCATTACCCATTATTAATTACCTACGAATTAATAGTGGAAAATTCGCTTTTTCAGTTACTATCAATTGCCTCAGATATGCTTTTTGAAACAATTTTGGACAAAACGATCTTTCACAAATCTGTGTAGGCTTTCCGTTAGGAATTATCCTATCATGATAACCGAAGTTACCATAAGTTTATCAAAACAAGTAGAGTGAAAAAGTAACATCAGCAAAACGTCAAAAATGTCATGTTAACATATCAATATTTCATAGTTTCCCGCCGTCAAAAAATACCTGGGAGTTTCTTGAGTTAAAGCAATGTAATTGTAAGTAAACAAATGGAAAAAATTCGCAACATTTTTTGATTTTTTAAAATCCAATTTGAAGACACTTTCTGGCAACATTAAATTAGACTGAAAGTGATCAAAGCTTTGTCGCTCTGTCTCATTTTTTTGTTCCAAGCAATCACCAATTTAATCCGGGTCTGCTAATTTTCACCAGCTGTAAAAATTTACTGTTCTGGTGTGAAAGTATAAAAACGAATACAGTTGAGGGAAGTTGTCACACTCCTCAGCGTAGTTTTTTTGTCTTCAATATTTCACATCGGATGATTAAATTGTTCCACTCTGCCCAACAGAATAGTGTCCAATTTATGGAAATTCTATAGCAATTTGTAAAATAAAATGGTCCCGTGTGCAGAAACTCTCAATGAACAACTTTCATTTTATTTGAAAAAAAATTCAGTCTAACTTTTTCCAAAAACTAAGACATCATTCACAAATAATAATCGAGACTTATTTGTTCATAATCTTCAGATTTAATTCCAGCAGCCCATTTTGCAACCTTCTATTGAAATCATTCAAGCTTTGCTAAATTGTTTTTCGAGAGACCTGGACGTATTAAAACAAAAGCTCACACCAGCAAAATCAGCGATTTGTATATGCATGTATAAACCTGGTACTCGACGTTTCTACGAAAACGTTTAAACGTTTTGTCGCATTCAATAAACTTGAATCGATATGCAAAAATCATGATCAATCTCTCAAAACAAGCCTCCCGTCACAAATAGTTTTCCAATTTTTGCGCGTTTTTCCGCCGTTAACGTATTTTGTTTTTCATTTTGTCGAGGTTTACCCAGCATCTATATTCCTCTGAAAAAAAAAGTTTTTTTTCCGTCGCTAGAAGTTTAGAGCCGTCAGCAAACTTATATGGCTAGCAAAACTTCAACACCTCAGGCAAATCATTCATCAGGACGCAGAAAAACATAGGACCAAGTTGAGATCCTTGAGAAACTCCACTAGCAACATCTAAGCTTTTGGAGTAGTTGTTATCTGCTCCTACCTTTTGCTTGCTGTTTGAAATTGATAATTTCTTCTAAAAACACCGACCAACTCCAATTTCACTAATTTTACTGAGAAAATCATGATGATGAAATTTGTTAAATATCTTCGAAATTTTTTTTATAGAAAGTGAGAACTTCGCTTTTTGAGTTCCTGTGAATTGCCTCAAATATGATTTTCAAAACAATTTTCGACTGAAGATTTTTTTCAAATCCGTGTTCACATTTTTCAATCAGTTTGGCAGTATACTCATATAATGCTGGGTATATTTTTTCAAAAATTTAACTCATAAATTTTAACAGTGACGCCGGAGGCAATTTATTTTTCATTTCGTTTGTCACATAGAAAAATGATACTGCTACTTTTCAGATATTCTGATTTTTTCTGACAATTATGTTGTTTTGCCAAAGTAGTTGAAAATAGCTTGTCTTGTGAAGCAAGATTGGCAGGAGAACGTCCTAACCCCAAAATTTTGACGTGTTCAGATTAGATCGGATTTCACTCATGTACAATTCGTAAACACTGAAACTTATGAAGGTTGTATTTTCCATCTTGATCTCGTTGAAATTAAACTCCCTCTCGGTTAAAAAATCAAACTAAAATTTTTCATATGGAAAAGTTACCTAATCATCCAATGAGAAGTTGATCTTGCTGATCTAAATTACTGTTTTAGATAATGACTGAAAAGACTATTCGGGTAAAGACTTCTTTCTTTTCGAATAAATCTTTAATTGGGAATTCATCAATATCAGTGCTAAGGTAATCATTCCAGTTTGCCTTTTAAAAGTTTCAGTCTCCTCATCAGATACAAGAACATGTATCATATGTGTTTGGAAGAGTGTTTAGAAACTTTAAGAAATCGCATCGTCTGTGCATATTTTGGTGGTTTTTTTTTGGTAAATTGTAGAAACAGAAAACAACAGTATGTTTTGCTGTCTACAACATTGTCCATTAACAACCAAGTCCCGCAAAGACAGTTCATGTTGTAATCAGTTGTTGCTACAGCATTAGCAAACTTAGTAAGTTTTTCTATGTTTAGTTTTATTTGATTATTTGTAAGTACATGTTGACAAAACCTATTATGAGTAGAATATTGATAACACCTACTCATATTTGTTTCCGTCTTCCCCCTGAATTGTCACAATTTTACGATCAATGAAAAGCACTAGCTTCCAAAATTTGATGTCGGAACTCCCTCGTTTTCAGAATCTTTTCTTCTTCTCAAATCCTTTTTTCTTCTTTAACTCGGAACTCCCTTGTTTTTTTAGACACAATATTTGCTGTATAGCGTCCTCTTTTCACCCCGCTGGTGTGAGATTGATTTCCTTTTTTCTTAGGTTTTTCTCAATTAATAGCCTTATGCAAGGGCTAGTTTTGTCTCATATAGTCAGCTGAAACGGTAACTAACAAAGTACGCAGTTTCATTCGCTCTTTGCTGAATGTTCCGAGTCTTTTTATTTTCTCTAGTATGGTTGCACACCTACCAAGTTAATGCATCATAACTGTAATTCCCTATATGGGACAAAATTTTCGTATTTTGGTTTTTCTGGATCTTCTTTGATCATTTTTAACAAACAATCTTAGCAGTCTGATGGTGATCTAGTTATTGTTTTTTCTCGCTTCACTATTGGTTGAGCATAAGCCATGCAAAAACTTAGTGCAGCGCCTTAATTTTTCTCGCCGATTGAAAAATGAGAAAAAACTTCACTCGTGAGTACACAAAGAGAACTTCGAGAACGGAACGGATAACAAAACCTTGAACTTATTGCATTGTCGATCGGAAAAATTAAGAGGTGCGAGAAAACAAGACATCCGGCGAAATTGGGGATTGCTCAGATAAGGTCATAATTGATCCTTTTTCTAGTAAATAAAGAACACTAAGACCTTTTTTTGACGTTAGTTCGTAGTAATTTCTGTCATTTTAAACCTTCCGGGCGGCAAAAGTTATACTTTTTAACACCAAGATTGGCAGCTCAGCTTCTCAAACTAAGGGTTTTTAACGGCATCCAGAAAGGAAGTCCGGATGG